ATATATATATATATATATATATATATATATATATATATATATATATATAGGGTGGTGGTGGCGCAGTGGTTTAGTCGTTGTCACCGGCGTGCTTTGGACCCTATAGTCCGAGGTTCGAGCCCCGCCACCGCCACCCGACTTTGGTGGTAGGCAGCTCTGCTGTCGTCCGGTTCAATACCACGCCTAACCTATCGGGGCCTTATGTGGTTCGCCACTCCAAGTTCCGGGGCTTAGGTTGCCGATTTCAACCACTGAACAGCAGGTCCTCGTGACTATGGTTTACCCCGTCTGCTGTTCATCACACCTAGGTGTGTAATAAAAAAAATAATATATATATATTGCCGTGTTTTCGACAGTGGTTTTGGGGACCGTGTGCAACTTCATATCTCTTAGAGTTTTGCTGCGAACACATGACCTATTTCTGGTCTGCTATAAATAGTACGTGGATATGTACTTAGAAATGGTCCATTGACATCATTTTCAGTCCTTCACGAGTGTTCATTTTCTTTTTTACTAGCCCCTCGTTCCACATCCAATCGACGCCCTGCAGCTGCAGCTTCAGCAAGCAAACCCATACCCAAAGGTATGTCTGTGTCGGTGTACACAGAACGAACTGACCGTAAACGACCAGAGACCAAAACATCTACAATGCGCAAACGTTCCGCGTCTCCTCCGTGCCCTCCGACAAAGGCTGTTCCCGCTAAAACTAAACCAGTAAGTTCTTGGTCTTCGTTAGTGCTGCACCTCTGACAATCAGCGTTATCACCCTATGAGATACTGAGGTGGATAATGACAAATTAATTTCATGTTTTTATGACAAACGAGATGCGAATGGGTATTGATAATAAATGCGAGAGTATACCTTAGGCCTAACAAGAAGAATACTATGGTCACTGGTAGAAACCGGGGCCATTAGTTTGAGAGAGAATAATTCGGGATGGTTTGTGATCACTCTGTCCAGCACAGAACTGCCTCTGGTGGGAGAATAAGAAAGGTCAGATAAACCAAAC